AATAGCTATATACTTTATTATTTCTCCCAATATGGACCCTAATAAAAAATTGAGTTGTTTCATAGTACCAACAAGAAACAAATAATAAATTTAAAGGAATCATTATTGCTTTGTGTTCTAGATTCTATATAGAGCTTGATTTTTATGAAAAACAAATTAATAAGGTACAAAAATACATTGATTTTGCTATCTTGGATTAAAAGATAAACATCAAGAACTTAAAATCGTAGTCTAGAGTTCTTTTTTGTCGTTCTTTCAAATAAAAATTGGAAACACACAAAATTCAGATTATTTTTTGTGTTAGTGATGAGAATTTGAGGACTTATTAGGAACTGTTTATGTTTATTATTTTTTGGTTTTTTATTTACAAAATTATAAATGATAAAAATAGATATTTGCATTTAGTTATTTTATACAACAAAAAGAGAACAATTAACAACATAACCAAAATTCGGGTCATAAACCATCTATTAGATTAATGTGGCTCGTTTATATAGTAAGTCTAGATTTTTATGGTTTTGTTGCACGGAAGCTTACTATTAAGGTAAAGTCTCGGGCTGTTTCTTGGTGCATTAACAATTATGTTCTCTTGCTCAGATTAAAAGATTTGATTTTTTTTTTCTCTTTTGTAAAATGTAGACAGTTACCCCTCCCAATAACCCTTCTTGATCAAGAGCCAATTGCAAAAATGTCATTTTTGGTGTATACATGTGCAAGAACGCCACTTAGAGGTGTCCATCTGCAAAAATACCACTAATTATGGATTTTTAAAGCCTAAATCTTAAAATTATAAACCCCAAAAAATGTTTTGACACCTAAAACCCTTTAAACCTTCAAACTAAACCTTAATACAACATAGTTAATCTAAACATAAATGATATAATGATTTTTTTTTGAAAAAGTAGCATTTTTTGCAAAAATTTTAAAACATTTATATTTTTTTAAATTTCTCCTTAATCAATGGTTAAAATAAAATTTAAATCAACAACTCAACAGTTTTTGCGTAACCAATAAACCCAAATTAAGCTCATTAAACTAAATCAAGCCCACTTGACCTCTCTGGTCCCACGAGCTCAATTTGAGGACTTATCAGGACTAAGAGCATGTTTATAGATAGGAAATATGGGTAAATATAATAGGTTTTTCATAATTAAACCCATTTAAATAAATGAAAATGGGCTTAATGCTATATTTACGGTTCTAAAATTAGGTATTATATTTCCCGTAAATATACAGATCTGGAATGATCTGATTGGTCCGAATACTGTAGAGAAAAGGGAAAAAAAACTCACTCGTTTTTGGTCTTTTTTTTTCTCTCTCTCGAGAGACATCGTCTCCTCGATCTCTCTGATCTTCTGTAAAAGGACGAAAGTTCTCTCTAGATGTTCGTCGATCTCTCTCTCCAGGTTCGGACATATCTATGTTTTTTTTTTGTTTTAATTGCGATCGGTTGATTTTATGGATAAACGATTGGATCTTCTCTCTGTCTCAGTCTACGGATTTGGTTGATTTGAAAATGATGCTTATAAATCTGTTGTTTTCGTCATGGGTCATCGTTATAGGAATCAATTAGTGGTTGAAATCATTCAAATCCCTATTTTTTTTGTTCCTCGATTTGAGTTTGGGGATGATGGGTTGATAACAAGTTTCGATTTTGAAAGATGGGTAGCTTCGATTTTAACACTTTTTATGATATTATATGCCTTATACATGGAGAGAGATTGATTTTTGAATGGTATCTATGTTAATTAGATGAACCATAAGGTTATTTCTCTCCTGACATTGATAAATTCAGATTCTAATGCTTGTATTCCTCTCTATATGGACTTTCAAGTTTTGCTATTCTGTTACATTCATACTTTACTTGCAGAAATTTTCTCAGGATTAGTTTGTTGTTCATTATCTTAGGGTATTTGGGTTTTTTTTTTCTCTGTTATATCTGAAGGGTTAAGTTTTTTGTGTGTTTTTGTTTGTTGTAGTCATGGCAGGATCAGCAGCAGAAGGTACACAGTTTGATACTCGTCAGTTTGACCAGAAGATGAATGAAGCGTAAGTCCTTAAGATCTATTAATCTTTGTTTAATACTTGCAACGTTTTGATTGCTTTCGTGGAGATTCGTATTGGCTTGCAAATGAAACTAGTTTGATTGCTTCCTGTTTAAAATCATTCACCATTACAAAAATTTGGATCCTGTAATACTATATCTTTTCAAAAGGGAGTTACAAGATTGGTCGAAAAGGTATTGTTGTTTAACATATTCTTCCACTTTCATCATCTTCTTGTTCATTGATCAGTAATGATGTTAAACCTGTCCCAATGGATTTTCTTTTTCTTTAGGATGTGATATACTTATCAATAAGGATAAGAGAGTATCTAGGATCCACGCAGGGTTAACTTTCGATGCAACATCTGTTTCAACCTCTCGGAAGAACAAATCTTCTGAAACTTCATTTGTAATCCGTGTTAAAGATTGTTCAAAGTATGGGACTTTTATCAAAACTGACCTTGGGACGAAAGGGAGTTTACTTTAAAAAAAACAATTTCATAATTTTTTTTTATTTTTATTTTTAAAACCCTTCTATATTTACTACCTATAATCACAAAAAACAACAAAATAATTTGGGTATCTAATGTTAATCCCAATACAATTACTATTATAAAATTCATATATTATCCCAACATATTTACTATCTATAATCATGCTCTAACCAAAATTCGGGAAGCTGAGAGAGAGAAGCGGAGAAGCAGAGGAAGAGACGCCGAGGAAGATAGAATCGCCGAGAGAAGTCTCCGCCGTCATTGGTAATCGTGTGAAAAACAGAGTTTTTCTGATCTTGCTTGCATCTAAAGTAACAGAGAAAACAGAGTATTTCATTAATTGAATTCGTGACTACTTGCAATCCTTGTTAGGGTTATTCGCAGTTTTGCAGTCTTTTTG